TCCCTTCCCTGCCATTTCCTCTTTGGTAGCCACAGTATGTTTTCTATCTTAATGAGTCTATTTTTGGTTTGTAAATAAAATTTGTATCTTTTTTTTAGATTCCACATATAAGAGATATCATACATTTGTCTTTCTCTGTCTGACTTACTTCACTTAATATGATAATTTCTAGGTCCATCCATGTTGCTGCAAATGTCATTATTTCACTATTTTTTTGGCTGAGTAATATTTCATCTCACACACACACACACACACCCCCTTCTTTATTCACTCATCTGTCAATGGACATTTAGGTTGCTTCCTTGTCTTGCTAGCTTAATCTGTTTTAACTGGGCATCACTGCCACCCCCTTCTGAGATTTTCTTTGCAGCTCAGAGGAGAAAATAGAAACTATATTTCCCAGAACTCCCTCCCTCAATGGGTCTCAGTATATGGTTCACGGTTAGTGTGGGCCAGAGAGAGACACTGAGCATGACTTGGAAATCCAGAGAGAAGGAGGGGAAGGGCAGTGAATGGGTAGTCTAATGTTTGAAGGACTTCTTTAGAATCACTGCCCCACTGGTGCTGCAGACTGAGAAGGTCAGGAGGAGACTACTGGGTGTTCCTGAGATGCACAGGAACTTCAGCAAGCTCTTGAGAATCACCAACCTCAGGGCTGAGGCTGAGACACTGGGTGGCACCTTCCCTGACAGTCAGTCCTTCGGTGATTGTGAAAGCCTCTCATTCCTTGTTAAAGCCCTTCATAGTTTGGATACAGAGTGTGCCTTCTATTTTTCCTGCCTGAATTCGAGCTGATACCATAGCTTTTCCCCTCTGAGTTTTTCAAACTTTCTCTGCTCCCAAATGTATAGATTTGTAAGTTTTTTAAAAGGGTGGCAGGAGGGAAGTCACAGGCTATTTTTTTGACACAGTAGGCAAGGATGCTGCGCTCTGCCATAGCCTCAGCACAGGCTTTGGAAATGTACCCCTGGCAGCAGACATTTCCAAGCTGAGCCTCTCCCTGTACTACTTTCTCTCCTCTTCCCTCCAGCATGATGCCACAGTGAGTCCTACACTAGCCTCACATGTCCTGTGTAAGGGACAAAAGTCTGGGGTGGCCTGGGAATCAAGGACACAACATAGATTTTTTTTTTCCTTGCCTCTGTTGCTAAATGACTCAGTTTTCCCTAGCAATTTTTGGTGATGTCTTCCTCTGTTAAATGGGAAATATCTACCCTCCCCACTTTATAGAGTTGTCTCAAGGATGATGAGTATGGTCTGTGCTCCAAATAGAAATGTTTTCCCAAAAGACACAATGGTCTATATAGATGCGAATTCTACTTCTAACAGCTACCAGATAAAGAATGGCAGTACCTGGCACGCAGGGCTATGTCCTATGCATGGAATGTATTTCAAGAGACATTTCTCCAACATTTCAACATTCCTCATCATGTGGCTACTCAGTGAGGGATAGCATGCAGACTGTCACTAGGTAGCAGTTAGCATCACTGACGCACCCCCTTACCCCTCATACACTGAAGACATGCTCAGACCTAGAGAATTCTCAGAGACATTTCAAGAGGACCATTCTAAAACCACATCTTTACCACAACCTGCCTCTTACTGAGAATCCAGCCTCTTCTCTGAGAGCTTCTGTTCAAGTGAAATAATTCCATTAGTTGCTTCAATTCATCCTATTGCTTTCCTGCCATCAAAATGCCAGAGTTTGAAATCTATGACAAAAAATAATTATTTACTGGGAAGTTATGCAATATGGCTAAATCCCACCTGGCAATGAACCAACAGATACAGCTCCCATTCAAGATGGCTTAGGTTTCTGCAAGCAACAGAGTTGAGGTGTGACGTCCCCAAGATCAGTCTCTCCCTTCAGTGCGAGGTCACCCTCAAAGGCAGATGGGTTTTCTTTCTCAGATGCAATTGTTACCTCCCAATTTACGTGCAATCAAGTATTTAGATACCAACAAGAGGCATCTAAGCACTTGACTTTCCTTTAGGCTTCTATCACTCATTTACTGAACAAATATTTATTGCTCTCTGGTTAATCAGGAGGTTCTGTGCCAGGCACTGCAGACATAGTGGTGAGTAAACAGACACTATTACCTCTGCTGCTCCACCCCTCCCCCTGCCAAGAGCTGCTGTCCAGGAAGACAGTCCCTGAACAGAGAAAACTGACCTACTATGAATGCACAGGGTGGGATCAGAGGGGTCTTCTTTGGAGCTGTGGTATTTGAGCTGATACCTGAAGAATGAGCAGGAGTCAGTGATGTGAACGAGATGAACGGTTAGAATCTGTCCTGCCCTTCAGGGAGCTTTCATTTACGAGGAGTCCCAGACTTTGGTATATCTGACCTCTATCACAGAAAGCAGAGGATGAGCAACTGCATTAAGGAGAAAGACAAATATAATGAGTACCTCGAAGAGGAAAAGTCAATACAGATAAAATCAGCAAAAAATTCACGCAGGGAGTCCAAAGTGCTGGGCATTACTATCCCTATGAGGTTTGGATTATCTTCAAGTTACAGACAGAAAAATAGAGTCCCCTGTCTCCTGATCCTTATTCTGGGCCCAGACTTCTTTGCCTTTGAATCTACAGTCCTCAGGACATGAATCTTGGGCCTATCACACTTGACATTGGAAGTTACATAAAAGGACATGCAAAGGGAAAATGGCATGTGTGGAAAAATAGCAATCTGCACATGAAATACTGTCCACTGGTTTGTGTAGTCATTGGTGTGGAATGAAGAGAGATTGGGAACTGGATGAATCAACAATTATTTGCAAATAAAATGTCCACTTAGGAGTTTAGAGACCAAGTTTCAGACATCATGGAAGACTTCTCTTGGGAAAGAATTGATGTAATCTGTCTTTACAATATGGAAGTACCTCTCTGGATAAACGTTTTTAGACTGTTTCCATGAAGATGTTAACAAATGACACTCAAATAGGTGATTTATGTGATCAGAAATTAAGAATAATTTCTTTAACTTAGATATAAAAAAAGACAGCATTAAGCAGTTTCATTCTGGATGCTGAAAAATAAGGCTCCCCTCATTTGTCTTTGTATGATTCATGCCAAGCTGAAATACATCAGTCTCATATTTTCCCTACATGGAGTAGTCCAATAATAATTCAGCCTAATGAGCTTCTCCGGCTCTCTCTTTACCGATCTCCTCATGACCATAAGCCCAAAGGACCTGGTCATCGTTTCATGATGCTGACTTGCTCTTTTCAACATCCACGTACTTAGTACTGATCACGCAACCAATGCATTAAACGCATACTAATTGCTTAGTGAAACTGAGACATCTGTTCTTGGCTCCCTTTAAATAATGAGGGTGCCTATTTTCACTCTAACCATGTTAGGCATTTTTCCATATTCCAAGTATTACTTAAAATATCTTCAAAACTTATTGTCTTATATTCCATTTCTTCAAGGTTCAGATTTCTTATTTCATTGTTACAGTGACAGACGACCTTTGCACTATTACCAATGGCTATCATTTATCTGATCAGGACTTCCTGCAGTGAAATCTCAATTTCATGGCCAGATCAACTCTTACAAGCAGGCTTAAGAGATCTAAGACCTCAATTCCTATGCAGTGCAATCAACCAGCTACACAGCAAAATGACCCCTACTCAAATACAAGAGACCAATAAATAAATCCATGAGAGTATGATGCTAGGGTTAATTTGTCATTCCTTCTAGATAGAGCATTATTATTTGCCAAGAGGAATCCACCTCCCCCCTCAAAAAACAGTCTCTAAAGGGATACACTCAAAACCTCCATAAAGACATTCAGCAAAAGAGATCTGTTTATGCCCCTCAAAATATAACACGTTGGCAGCTATTTATTCCACCTGACTTTGAGCAAAACTGATTTTCACAAATTTGACACTTACTAAATGGAATCATGATCGAACCCTAATTGAATCAACACATATTTAAACACAGAAAAGTTCTCCTGAGCCTCGACATCAAACAGACAACATGGGTCCAAGTCACAGACACCTGGACTCTTGCATTACTCTCTTGGTCATTTCCTGCAGAATATAAGGATATCTGCTCAGAGCCTTAGAGGACCAGCTCCACCACTGTCTCATCTCTACAGACTTTGCTCCTACCCACCCATCCTGCAATGCAGCCTGGATGACAAAGCTGGGACAGCTCTCATTCAGTGTCCCCTGTATGGACAAGGGGAGTTTCCAGCTGGGGGAAGCACTGTTTAAAGCAGGTAATGCCCTCATCCTAAGCCTATTTTTACTCACACGGCGAAGGTAGATTCACAATTACAAAACATGGCTGTGGTCATAACCAGAATAAAATGGGGTAAAACAAGTTACATCACATGGCCTCCTCCTGTTCTAACCAATTCTAACAAAGGTGATCACATAGTCCTTGGCTCAGACAACCAGGTTAGGGATAAACAATGTTTAAATTATATTCCTTGCAGATTCTAGAGATGGCAATCAGAATTCAAGGCTTTGGAAGAACTGAGTAAGACAAACTAATGTTTCGAGGATCAGAGAATTCAGGGAAAACTGCACAATGATTCTCTCCAATGTTGCCAGGCAAACTGCAATTCCTTTTAACTGTAATGTAGAGTTCATTCATTTGGAAATTACAGATTTCAACTATTATACTCCCAAACAATGATATTTTTACAAATACTGGTGAGTTTCCCAATTTCTCTCCATCACTTTTTCTGGAGGTAATGATCTACTTAGTAATGTTCAAGTATGATAATCTCCTTATTCAAAGAAAAAAAAATCAAAATTATACTCCACCATGGATTTATTTGCCTTCCCCTTAGACTGCCACTAAATTCTGTTTAATATGAGTTAAAATCACTAGGCCTGACAGGTGTGGTTTTCTCATCAAGGACTCGAAAAGCACTATGTTCCTTCCAAAGTGCCGAGGCAGCAGTAATGAGCCCAGAGTTCTGCGCAGCCAAGTGTCCCTCCCGGCAGCCATCGAGAGCAATAAAAAGCAGAGTCCTTACCTCGGTGACTGGTGAGTTCCCTGGATGCAGACGGCAAGGGTGTGTAGTGACATTCTGGAGAGACAGCAACACTGTCACTGGAAGCCTACGTGATTAAAAAGAAAAAAAAGCACATATATCAAAGGAAGCAACACAAAACACTAAATATTTTCCTTTCCCAAACTTATGTCCTTGGGACCTGGGTTTGGAGAAAGTATTTTGGACTGAGACTCTTCTCAGGAAGCAATAGTTGTCTGCATTGAGATGATATTCTGGTAAGTGTAGGGGAAAACACAGAGCTTAGAGGGGACTCGGTACAGGTGGAGGGACTCTTAGACATGGGGACATTTGTTTATTGTACTGAACTGAGAGGAGGAGGAGGAAGATCAGGAAAAGAGAAGTTGAAGGCAGGAAATGATGTTGACTTAGATTTCTGTTACAGGTCTTGTTCCAGTAATTCCTACAGACTAAATGCTCACTGTGCATAATTTTTATGGAAACCACTGAACAGGCTGAGCTTTGCTTCCAGGAGGGTGGGACAAACAGGGCTGGTTTATGGGGCCCAGTGGCATGGGGACAGTAGGAAGCTGAAGACATAAGACCCAGCAGCATGAAGTGACCCTACCGAAGGACATAAACCATCGCAAATCGTGCAACTGGAGTTCTGGCTAAACTGAACAGGTGCACTGAAAAACCCATCTGAAATTTGAAATACAGTGGTTATCAACAAAACTTTGCCATTTGAAGGCCTAAAAGAAAATGACAGGAAATCTATCTAAGAAGATGCTTTTCCCCCCCTCTTGTTTTGCTGTACACACAGCTCTTTAACCACCAGATGTGTGACCCAGGCTGCTAATTCCTCTTTCCCTAAGTCTACACCCATGGGGGCTAAGGCAGGAGCAAGGGACTACAGCTGTGGAGTCAGTTGTCCCTCAGAGCTGATGGCCAGTTTGCCTCATTCAGAGTGCGGCTGCGTGGAAAAAGCAGCATCATCACTGCCACTCCACATCAGACTTCTGAGCCAAATCCTACTTTTCTTTTTAATATCCAAAAAGGACCATCTGCTAGGATCAAAATCCTAAGCTTACAACCTTTCCAAGCTTCATGAAAAAGTAAATTTCATTAACACTACATTTTTCTTCCTGGAAAAAGGAAACACATTCTATGGGATATATTTGCCCTGGTAGGAGCAGCCCTTTTCTCTGAAGAGATTATCTACATTATAGGAATCAAAACTAAGTCAGAGATTAGACCTACTTGCTAGAAAAACCCTTTAAACCCCGTTTCTGACATTTGAGATGTTTGATTAAGCGGCTTTCAGTGGAGTCTTACAGAAAGAGTTCTGAATGGCACAAAATTGGAAGCTCTGTCCCTAAGGTAGAGACCGATTTCAGGTAGCATTACGTCACGCCAGCAGCAAGGGAAATATACAGTGTTTAAAGCTTGATCCAAGGGGACTGCGTCCAGAAAGATCAAAGTTCAGTTACCAAGAAAAAAATGCTTTCAAAAGTAGATAAGACTTGCTCAGTACCACATCATTAGACATTTAGGATGCTGCAACAATGTAAAGGAGTAGGAAATCAGATTAAAATTCAAACACCAGAATCACCAGGTGTTTCCCCACTTGGCATTCAAGGTCCCCTGTAATTGCTGTATGATAAATGAGATAAAATGTTAGTGTTCTAAATACAGCATCTCTTCAATGCTTGAGGCAAGATACATGGAGTGGACAAGTGGGGTTGTCCTTCCACAGATCAACTATGCTTCCTCCAAAAGGGGCCATACTTCTTTCTCTGCCAATGTTTCTGCTCTACCTTGTTGTTTAAAAAGCCTAAAATTCCAAGATGAGTTTAAGGTTGCTATACTGTCATATTTCTTGGTACTTTTTTTTTAAATCTCAATTTTCGGGCTGTTAATAATCTGATGACAGCTTTTCCTAAGATTACTGGAAGGAAAGGACTGGGCAGAACATTAGAGTTTTGTAACCAAAAGTAAAATAGCTATTTCAGTTTTATTTCCAATTGTAGTCAAAGCAGAAAACTGTGTGGCTTGAGTTCTGTTTTGCAGTCATCATTCTATGCCTAGCATTTAATTACTTTTCTGCTCAGTGTCCATTTATAAACTCAAGTCATGGAAAAGAATCCAGGAAGACGACAATTTTGCAAACTATGCCTTTTGGTGAAACTTTCATGGCTGGATGTTTAGGGAAACTGCTACAAACCAAGAGTCTAACTACCAGTTCTTTGACTTGGCTTTTAGCAAAATGAAGTCCATGTGATCTTTTCAATAGTGATGTTGAAAATTATGCTTAGAAGCATGATTCAGAAAAGTACAATTATAAGATGAAAGAAGTGGACAGGACAATGTTTAAATTTGCACACTAGCTGCCCAGGAATAAAGAATTCCCCTTGAAATTAAAGCAAAATACTCATATTGTATTAAGAATGAGATAATAGAAACATAAGTGGAAAATTTTAAATAATGTCTTCTTTTACCTGGATTAAGTCTTCATGTCTTTATGCCTAAAATGGGACTAGGGAAACTGGGGTAAATCTGAATCCTCAGAACTACAAGTACTCTCAAATCTTTGAGTCCTTGCCAAATTTTCTAACCACCTAGGGCAAACAACTATGATTTTACACTTTACTTTTTAAATCACTCCTGTTGGAGGATGTTTATAACATCTACAATAAAACATGAGCATGCAGAAAACCAATGTCCCTAAATAAACAAAAATATAATAGAAAAATGGACCAAGGAAATGTCTGACAATCTAAAGAAGAGAAAACCTGAGTGGTCAATAAATAAAAGAGAAGATGGTCACATTTACCAGTCCTATGGGCAACGCAAATTAAAACAATAAGATACAATTTTTCTATCCATCAGAACTGGACAACTTTTATGTCTCACAATAACAAGTGCTACAGAGACTGAAGGCCAGCAACACTCTTAGCCTCTCACCCCTTGCCAGTGGAAATGTACAGTAGTTCAAGTACTTTGGAGAGTAACTGAGCAGTATCTAATAAAACTGAAAATTGGTACTGCAACACCATTGAAAGTATATGCACTATGGAAAATTTTTCTCAGGTCTGTAAGGTGGGACATAAAACAATGTTTACTGCAGCATTATTTACAACAGAACAAACTGGAAATAACTCAAATGTCTATCAGTGAGGAAAATGGATAGATAAAATGTTGTACATTCACATGACAGAATAATATTTAGCATTTAAGAGCAATCAAGATGATTTATATTTCCCAATTTGAATAGGTCTAAAAATTCAACAGAGTGAAAAAATGCATTTTCCAAAAGAATAAATGTAGTGTAATATTATTTGTGTGAATATGTAGTTCTTCGATCTCACGTGTGGATGGTAACAACTAAAAATTTAAAAAGTTACGCTAAATTCAGGAAAATGGGTGCCTCTGTCAGAGGGCAGGGTAATAGGAATGGTGCAAATAGGAACAGATGGAGCTTCAATGCACATGCAAAGGTTTTCCATTTACTGACAAGACTTAGAAAAAAATGTGTCAAAATGTCAGAAAATACTCATCCGGTATGGTAGCTCAGTGTGCTCATTACTTTTTAAACTTTTCTACATGTTGGGAATTTCTCAAAACTCAACATGAAAATTGAAAAAATAAAGACTCCTGCTTCCTCTCTGATCCATAATCCTACACTGATTTAAAACCCATCATTAGAGGAAATTTCCTCTAATAATTTTCCAGTACTTGCATGACATGGATTAAGGCCACCGTGAGTTGGCTTTCTGTGATGAAATATCCCATTTCTAATTCTTCTAAAGCTATTGACTGTAACAACAGAATGGAAAAAGCTGAAAAATAGTAGTAAATATATATCCCCATTCACACCAAGACTTGAAATGCCTCTTCCAGCCTGGTAAGTCCTTCTGCTTAAGATTTGAAAAGCATACTGAAGGTTTCTGTACTCTTCTCCTACTCAAGATTGGAGAGTTGCTAATTTTTTAAACTCACATCAGTAATGATAATAGTCACTAATACACTGTGCTCTGCAATTTCTATAATGCAAGGAGGAAGGCAGAACTTTGGCAACCCCGTTGGAAAACATTCAATGAAAGTACAGTACAAAAGCTTTGCAAAGTGAATGTCTTCAGATGAATGTGTAAATGTCAAGCCCCCTCCCACTGGATGCGTTCCATGGAAACCTGCATTCCAGTGGGTATTTCTGAACATCATGGATGCCCGGAAGGAACATGATACAGACCACAGGAGGAGAGATTTGGCAGGCTTCAAAACAAGAAGGGGGCAGCTACAAAGTTGTTTAATGGCCATAAATCTCCCACTATTTTTCACAAAATACCATCTAAGACCACAGCTCCACAACTCATTCCCCATCACTCAGCTCAAGTGGAGCGCTCTGGCATGCTCACTCACCCCTAAATCATACACCGCATAAAGTGATCCCAGGTCTGGGAAATTTGTCAGCCTCTTTCAAGTAAAAGCAATCTTTGCTTTTCATCACAATTCATTCCCTGAAACTGTGGTATAAAGCTGGCTCTTCTAAAAACATTCTTTTCTCTCATAAGAAAAAGTATTGCTCATTTAGTTATCAAAGTATTTAATAACTACCGACTACATGCCAGGCCCTGCACTGAGAATACCAAGAAAAATAAAATGAGGACTTTGGTTTTATTCCCAATTCATCAAAAAAAAAAAAAACATGATCATGATTAATACTGGTTAGGAAGAGTCATCGGCTCATAGCATGATGCCCTTATTCTGCAGCAGCACAGAACTTTGACCCTGACCTCTATGATGACAGCTAAACACATGCAACAGTAATTACATCCTTCCTTGTTTCTTCTTCATACCAACGGAGAGCTTCCAAGATTAATTCTATTAACTTTTCAAGATTAACTAGATTATCAACCCTTGTAACCAACATGCTGCTAGATACACAGAAAGAAGTCAATGCATAATGCTTGAATCACTAAAACATTTTAATGTCAAAGATAAAACTACAGACCATGCTTGTAATTCAACACAAAAGCATGAGCCAAGTTGCCACAATCAGGTGTCAAGACTTGGCCACATCTGAAGGATTAAGTTAAAAGCCCAAGAACC